TATTAAGTTCTGAGAAAATCACCAAATTGTCATTGTCTTCAGTAGAAAGTTTCTATTGAAACCTAAATATTTTGCCGTTTTATTGTTGTTCATACTGGAAGTACGCTCAATAAGTGGAGGGAAATTAGCGGAAAATGGGGGAGAAGCTGGGCGTGGGTCCCCAAAAGAACGGTAGGATCGGCAGCAGGGCTGGTAAAAAAAGCGGCCATCAAGGCAATCAGAACGATCTCAAGGATAAATTAATTTATGTTTGAAATACTTTATTCACAGATAAGTTTACTCACAAATAATTTCATGATGAATCGGAATTTGGAACTAAAGTAGACTCCAATGATCAGCTCTTTATATACCCAAGGGGCAATAATAAAAATGCTTAATTATTTAAGCATTTTTCGCACGATAAAGGTTATCACTGGGTTATCATTACCAAAATATAAAAACGATTCAGCGATTTCTTATAAATTTTAAATCCTTAAGAAAGATTTATTTTTAAACGAAAAACAAAAAGACATAAAGTTAAGAATCTGTTTTTCACAGAAAAGAACGTCATTAAAGATCATATCTAAAATGTAATACCGCTCATATCAAGTATGACTTGTACTTTTATTGCTATCAAATACAAATACTTTTTGTTGTGTTAAAAACCTCAAATTTTTAGCAAGTTTCACTGTACGCATTTCAATCTAGAGAGATGGCTGATCTTTTGGAACCAAACATAGTTGCTGGGAGAGGCGACCGCCGGCTGTCTTTTTAATTGCAGTGCCACGACCTCGGGGGCTGCGAAAATATCTTGGAATTTCAAGTACATGTGTGCGGCTGCGCCGCTTGTACTTGAAGATCGCGCAGGCAGACGACAGCAGGCAGATGGGCCTCCTCGGGATTCCTGGAATGGGGTGCCTAAATCGAAAATAGACAAGACGATTCCACGCTGTACTGTATACATAATGCATAAATGCACTTTTTATTGAATATTTTATACATTTAAATGCTTCAACATCGTCGCTGTATGCTTAGACAAAAGATAATTGAGTGGATTGGATTGCTTGCACTTAACATTTCGTTGGTGAGTGGTAAGTCAGTTTTTCGGTACTGGGACCCCCGGCGGGCAATACATTTACAAAAATACTCGAACAATTACATTCAATTCAATTCATTTCGATTTGTATACACTTTCAGTCAATTTTGTTGCTGCAGTTTAATATTTCGTTGTTCTTAGTGGTCTGTTAGTTGTTAATTGGAATACTGCACATAAAACGGTCCTCACATCTCTTAGCTATAATATAGGTCTAGTATATTAAGCAGAACGCCCATCATCACGTTTGTTTTCATTTTCTCTTACTTTTTCATTTTGTTAAAAATCCAGTCTATACACTTACATTTAGCGGATGAATACTTTATTAAGTACACGGTTTAGCACATTTCGTTCCTCGATATCGATATCGCATCGGTGTATATGATTTATGTTAAGTATATAAATATAGATCATTAAGGCACATTTATGGACAGTTTACTTTTGATTGGACCTGCTCTCTCATTGTCTTTTTGTCGTTGCTCTCGCTTGGAATGCTTAAAACTTGTCTAAGTTTGTCTACGATAAAATACGAATACGTTACGTCTGCCTAGATTTCCATAGCTACCGATTATAAATACGAACATTTAGCTTACACGCGAAGAAGGGGCTAGAGTTAAACAATAATTACAACTGGGTTGTAATAACGGATTTGCGAATGATGGTCGGCTCGCGTCCCTTGGGGGCCGACACCACCTCCGATGAAACCAGCCAGGGCGATACCATGTCGTTGCTGTTGCTGCTGCTGCTGCTCGGAAAAGGAATGCGGCTGTTGTCCGGGTAATTGCTCGGGGTTTTCTGTGCCAAAGATCGAAATGAGGGTTAAAACGGTGGGTCAAATGGGTCAATGGACTTGGAATGGTTAGTGGAGTGCAGATTGACATGAAAACGAGAAGGCAAGACAGGCAACTGCGGCAGGCCGGAGTTAAAATACCCTTGCAGATATTAAATAAAATTGAAAATGTATTTACAGATGAGTTATTAAAGAAAGGGAAGCTCGAATTTTCAAGCTAATAAATCAGACTTGCTAAATAATATTCCAAAAGATAGTATACAAAAGTTTCTCAATAAATACTAATACCCTCTGCAAGAGCATAACAAAACGTTAGTTAATAGCTGTAGGCCAGTTTAGAGACAGACAGTAAAAGCGTAGACATAAGCTCGCAGGTGCTCAAACCTTTTCACTCGGCGGCGCATCGACTTCGCTGTGGCTTTGATTCAGATTTTGATTCTGATTCATCTGCTGGCTTGTTTTCTGCGATTCCAGGCGCTCCTGCTCATTGAGCGTGGAGAAGAGCAAGGTGCCGGCACTGGGCGTTGAGCTGCCCGTCGGCTTAGCAGCACTTTCGGCGGTGGCATTGTTGTTTATGATGTTGTTAATGAATATTTCATTAATGAGTATTTCGGCGGCCGAAGCGTTGCTCAAAGCGGGAGCCACCGTCTCCGAGGCGGTGGTGGTGGGGCTGCTGGGCGTGCTGATGGTGGTCACGCTGGTGGTGGTGCTGGTGGCACCGGTGTTATTCAGATTCACCGGCAGCGACGACGGCGGAGTGAGCGGTGCACTAAATCCGGACACAAAGGTGGCATTGCTAAAGGGCGCATTCCCATTGGTGGCGATGGCAGTGGTGGTGGTGCTCGAGCTGCTGGAACTGCTGCTACTGCCCGTCGATGGCTTCTGTTCCGGTATGCTGAGCGTCAGCTTATCGCCTCCCTATTTTTGTGGTTTAGCAAGCATACAGACACAAGCACAAGACACACGGAAACAACACACGCAATACCACGGATAAACATTAAGTGCGGACAACGAATGGAAATAAGAACGTACAAACAGAAGGCATGAAACGAGTGCAATGCAGTGGTCTTAAACTGGTTCGCTGGCCGACAACTTACCACTGATATGTAGGTGGCGTTCAGGGAATCCGGTCCATCGCCGTTGTTGCTGCTGCTGCTGTTCGTGTTGCTCGTGTGCATGTTGCTGCTGTGGGCGGCCGGCACAAACATCTGATTGGTGAGCTTCGCATTGCCGCCGGCGCCCAGTTCCTCCTCAACGCGAGCTGCAGGATTAGTTAATAAATCAGAGTTACTTTCTAATAATAATTAATTAATAAATACACACGAAGAAAAAGCGCTATATTAATGTAAAATGGTCTAGCCCAGTTAGCCAACTCACCCTTTAGGATATTGCACTTGATGTTGCCAGGCGGCAGAGCCGTGGTGTTCACATTGGCCAGCTTCACTTGGTTGTTGGGCTTCTCGTTGGCGTTCGACAGCCGCTTCAGCGTCTCCGTGTTGTGGTCCATGTCGAAGGTCTTGTTGATGGTCACCCTGCCGAATAAGTTCACATTCTAGTCAGCATATTTCGATAACTAGACATAAGTTACGCTACCTGATACTGTTAGCATCATTAATGGCTTCGTTTGCTAGCACTGATGGGGATGGATCTTTGACAATGGACTTAAGCAATGAGTCTAGCTCTCTATCTTTATCCGACAAGCCGCTCTTAACACTGCACAATGGTATACACAACACAGAAAGACAGGTGAGAAACACACAGAAACAGGCGAATTAGTCAATCGGTAAGGGGAAGCAATATATATATAAAGGTACATCGATGGGTTAGCAATACGGAAGGCCTACCTGAGCTGGCCGGAGCTAATGGAAGCCTTGCCAAAGCTGCCGTGATGCGAGGCCGATGCATTTCTAAACGGATTGGTCTCATCGAAGTTCTTGGTGGCGTTTGGTGAGTACGGAGGCGTGTAGTCAGGATCCAATCTGAAAGAAGGGGAGAATCTTTAATAAGGGGAAGCAAAAATTAGAGTAATATGATTTCCTTACTTAACAGTCAGACCCGCGGCCTTGCCAATCGATCCAATCTTGCTGTACGCCGGATCCTCGTTGCTAAAGTTTGACTTGAGGGAGTTACGGCCCAGCGAGGCGAAGTTGGCTGCCGCCTGGGAGGAGGAACTGATGGAACCGCTGCAGGCCGCATCCGGTTCAATGATGGCCGAGTTTTGGATGACAGTGAGCACCGAAGGCGAGGGCGTTACGGTGATAAACTGATCCGTGGAGATGAGCGAGTCGAAGGCATCGTTGTTGTTATCGTGGCTTGAAGTTGGGGTAGATACGTGGAGGGGAGTCACTGGTGCAGCCGGTTGCGATGCGGCAGCGGCTGCAGCCGCCGCAGCAGCGGCTCGAGCATTAACTGTAGCCACAGCCGAGGCCGCTGACTCCTGGGAGGCCTTTTGTCGTTCGCGCAACAGGTGCGACTGCCGGCTGGCAAATCGTTGCGAGGGTCGCCGCTCAAATTGCACCGTTCTCCTGGCGCGACTCTGCTGGGTGGTCTGGAACTCGGTGCGACCGGAATACCGGAAGCGGGAGCCCATGCGGAAGAAGTTCTGACGGGCGGAGGGACCCTTGACGGGCGCCCTCAGCCGGAAGAAGGTGTGATGCTCCACGGCGCACTTCCACAAATGCTTGCAGGCCTTCTCGTTGTACAGCCGAAAGACAAACGTGTGCTCCTGCTCCCTGCCCTCGTCGTCGTCCTCGATGACAATGAGGGTCAGCTTCTTTTTCTTGAAATCCAGCTTGCTGATCTTGGGCCAAAAGAATAGACCGATCTTCTGATCGCGCTCGAAGACGAGTATTCCGGTGGGCGTGAGGCCAAGGTGGTACTCGCAGCCATCCTTTCCCAGCACCGTGTGCATGTCAACGCCGTACATGTCCAGCCACTTGGCCTTGTTCAGAAAGGCGGTCTCAGCCTGAGCGGGCGTGAGACCCCGGCACGTCTTGTACTCGTCCAATATGGCTATCTCCAGGTCCTCCGTTTGCTCGGGCACAAAACGGAACTCGGAGACGGTGGCCGCCGAGTGCTCCTGGTTGTCGAAGTCGCCCAATTCAGCTGTAGCACAAAATAGTATTAAAATATAAAATAAAAAGGGAACTATAGGTGAATCACTTACACTGCAGGGCCAAGGCGCAGAGTTCGGTGGACTTGTCGTCCGGACAGTCGAGACGTCCCTCGAGCAGATCTTGTTTCAGTTGCAAAAAGAACAGGTAGCGGGTGAGTTCTTCGCGGAGGGTGTTCGGTTCCGAAGAATAGAACTTCACCTTCAAACGGAACGTGTAGGGCGGTCCGACTGCGGGAAATGTTCAAACAAATTAGTATTGTTCCGCGCACGTAATTGGGCTCACACGTCAACTCACTTTTGACCTGCTTCTTGATGGGCTTTGTGGGATCCAGCCAGTGCTTGACGTGATTGGCATCCATGAACTGCAGCCCGAAGTAATCCTTTTCGATGATGTCCAGTGCGTAGAAGACCTGTTCGTACAGGAAGCTGCCGAGAGCTTTTTTCTGCAAGCAAAACGGGGGAAAATTAATGCCTTCGGTGGGGGGCAGATGTAAATCAATGCGACCCTGAACTAATCACGTTCGCTTAGTGGGTTAAATTATGTGCTGATCAGCAGCAATTTGCTTATTTTTATCACACGAGGTGAGGCAATGCAAGCTGTCGAGTGTCTTCGTTAGGGTGGGCCAATATTGAAAGTGCTGAATATAGTTGGTTTTAACTGATTTTAACCTTTTTAATGATAATTTGATTTGTAATCATTTTATAGTTTGTAGTAAATAGAATATAATGAATATAGTTAATGTTAAATGCTTTTAAAGGTAATTTGTTGTTTATTAATTTGCCATCGTAATTAGAATAAAGTGATTAGAATATAATGAATACAGTTTATGTTAACTGATTTTAATCTTTTAAAGGTAATTTGTAGTTAATTAATTTACTATCGTAATTAGAAAATGTATACATTGAAGAAGGAAAATTAAATATTTTCTTTACGACTGTTTTAGACCTTTTGAAATCGATAGTGCTAAAAATATTAATTAAATAACAAATTTCTAGAAAATGTTTGAATAACGGAAAGAAAATTAAATATTTTCTTTATGACTGTTTTACCCCTTTTGAAATCGATAGTCCGAAAACAATAACTAAATAACACATTTTTTATTTAGATGACACTTAACGATGTTTCTATTTCTTATTCGTTTTTTCAAAATCATTAGAATAAATTTTGGGTTGTAAAATATTATAGTTTTCTAGTTGTAGGATATACTTTTAAACAACTTTTTTAAGTGAATAAATTTTTTAAAATTTTTATGTTAAGGTTGATTAAAACCGTACAGCCAAGTTTACTTATTTATTGAGCTAAAAACATTTAGTTAGTAGAACTGAAGCACCCTACCATCTACCAATATAGCTCCATCTTTATCGCTACCTTGGCAATACCATACACTGTATGGTATCTTATGCGAGATCCACCCATTCAGACCCATTTTATTTGTTTGTCTTCCCCCAATTACTGCCAACGGCAGCAGTTTAGACCAAAATATCGAATCGAAAACGGGCCAAATGTAATTCGATGTGGTGGCCCAGTGATAGGTACTCACCGATAATTCGATGGAAAGGTCAGTGTTGTCCAGCAGAATGACGCGGCAGTCGATCTTGTTCTTGTTGACGACGATGCGTTGCGGCTTAATTTGCGAGCCACCGGCGGTGGCAGCACCGCCCCCGGCCACGCCCACCGCAGAGCCGCCTGCACCACCGCCTCCGCCGCCCCCTCGGGAATTATCCACATAGTTGTTGCGCACCTTGCGACGGCTTAGAAAACGCAGCATTTTCGATTGCCTTCTTGTTTTGGGTTTAAATATAGCGGTGGTGGTATATATTTCAATGGGTTAAAGGTTGTTGTTGTTGTTTTTGTGTTGCCAAGGCAGCCGAATGCACCGATAATTCACCTGTGTGCTCACCTCGGCTGGGAAAAAAAGGCAGCGCAGACATCAAAAAACCCCTCACTCACACACACGCGCACAACTTGTTCTGGCCAACACGCACACACACCTATACAAGCGCAAGCGATAGACGCCCCCGTTTTCCTTTTATCTGTTTTTTTTTTTTCGTATTTTTCACTTCTGGATTTGGGGAGTTGATTTTAAAGTTGCTGCCAAAAGTGGGCGCTCCTTTCGAGCGGTTTCTTTTCTACGGGTTTCCCTCTGCGTTCGGAACCCCCGCCGCCCCGCGGAAAATCACTGCTAGCCTGGTTTTTTCGGTGGCGAAAAAGTGGTAAGTTGGTGGTAACGTTCCCGTTTCGCAAGGCACTTTTTCTTGCCCTTTTCACTTGAGTATTTCTACTTTGTATTGTTCTGCGGTAACTCTGCTTCGCTTTTTCGCTTTATTTTGTCATTATTTCGGGCTATTGAGTGCACTTTTTCGCTTTTTTAGAATGTAGAATTGCCGTGGAAGTTGTTGATTTCTATGTTTTTATGCTAGCAGTGTGACCAGATTCTATGCGCTTAATTATACCATTGCCTAATTTGGTATTTCTCTTAAAAATATACTGGAAATCGAAAACGTTTCGTTCAGCTGTGGCACGAACCTGGTTTGGAGATGGACTAGAAAACCAGTTTTCGTTAAGTTTAAGTTCCGCTTAAATTTAAATCTTAAAATTAATATTTTTTCCTCTATTTAAAATTGTTTGTCCAGCAAGTCAATCAAGTCAGTTGGTAATTCAGACATCCGGTCTCTGAAAAACAATGTTTAAAATATGTATTTGTTAAATATGCAGCATTCAACTTACTTTAGCAATAAAATGCATCTTTTAGGCAACTCAGATTTGAGAATTTCTGTGCCAAGTGAAAAGTCCACAGCAACAAAGATTTTAAAACCTTCCGCCTTTTTTTCTTTTAAAAATAAAGCCAAAGTGTCTGGTCTCACAACAAAAATATTTAAAGGCTGCTGAGCAGTCAAGCTGAAATAAGGGTTATATTTAGTAATTATTATTTATTTATATAGATTTATACATACCATAGCTTATTAGCAATCGTAACATGTGATTTTAGCGCCATTGTCAGGGAAGTGACTCCAAGACTTTTACAGGTGCGCGCCAAAGCACCGAAACCTGAAATCTTGTCGATCAGAGAAGCTACCAATATAAGTTCCCTATCTTCCGATTTTGTATTGTCTATACATCCATCGTCGGTTAGAGCTAATTCACCGCACTCTGTTGCGTTCTTATAAAGGTCTAGCTTTGCTTTGAAAGCCTCGCGGGCATTATCTGTGTAATAGTCCTTTTCACAGGCATCGAAAATGTGGCGCTCATCAAATGGAGCATTTGTAACATAAAGAATGCTTTCAGTAGAAAAATTTTCGCGAAGAAATAAACGAGGCTCGTTTAAAGTCTCGTACAAGTGATATTTGTGGGGCCGAACCAAATTTAAAATGTCATCCAATTGCTCTTTCCTAAGTTCCTTCCTGTGAATGTTGATGTAGGTGTGGGTTATGGCTAGAGCGGATTCCTGCTGAGCTCTTTTTAAAGTTGTTAACAGCTTCAGTTTTTCTGACAACACTTCGATGTTCGGGAGCATTTTGATCACAAGGCACTCGTACATGTACGTTATGCTCGGGTGATCATCCGGAGATAAAGCAGCCTGCCACAGACTGTCTGACCAAGTCCATTGCTCTGAAAAAACCACTAGGGCTGTAGCTATTCTTATTTTTTTAATGTGCACCTCGGAGTTTTCCAAGTAAGGTGAGGTCGAAAGCTCATTATTGGCCCTCAGCAGATCATCACAAATGCCACTCAAGTAGGCTTCGCTAATATTTAAGACAGCCGAGATGGCGAACGCTCGAGCTCTAGCTTTAAAATTTGCAATGTGCAAAACATCGTATACGTAAGCGGCTTCAATGCTGGGGTAAAATATATAATAAACATATAATATAACACAAGAAGAGGTTAAAACATCACCGTTCGTCTCCAGTTGTGCTTTCCCCTTCTATTATGAGATTCACAGCAATTGATTTCGGCAGTTCTACGTCCGGGTAAGTGTAATCATAATCTTGAACTGTAACTTTAAGTGCTCTATCAATAATGCACTTTGTATATTCCTCCTCTGTGAGATATTTAGCCGCGTGTTTTATGATATTCGCCCTGAATAGCAAATATATAGACATCGAAATAAAGTTATAGATGTGAAATACTTACTTATCCTTACTTCTGGAACAGGAAATGAGAGTTTCCAGTATGCTGACCTCTTCTAATTTTTCCGTGTGGCGTCCTAGTAAGAATATGAAAGTGGAAGCAGTATCGAAAGTACCCTGGGCCAGCAACTCTGAGGGGTTCAAGTTGAACTCCTTTAAATTGCTCCAAGAATTTATGCGATTTCTGACAAAGAGATCCACACATCGGGCCTTCAAGAAGGCAGCTTCATCGCTGTTCTTGCACTCCAGTTTATTTACTAAATACGACTGCATATCATTCAGGCTCGCACTTTCAAGAAGCCAAGATGTGTCCACATCGTATATTTGTCGATAAAAGTTTAATATAATTTCTTCTTGGTCTATTTGAAGGTCGAGGCGCCACCAACCATGATAAGCTTTTGGGACCTTTCGCAGTTTTTCGAAGTAGGCTTTACGAAGGTCATGTTGACCTTTTCTATTCTTACCTTCATAAGAACTTATGAAAATTTCATAGCTCCTCTTGCCGAAAATATTCAAATTAAGCTCCATTTCCTTGCAAGCCTTAATTTTGTCTATTAATCGATACTGCTCATGGCATTGATCTTTATCCTTGAACATGGCCGTAATGCAGCACATATAACCTTCTAAAGACAGGCTGTCGAAAGTGGCCTAAAAAAGTAGAAGAAACTATACTTTAGAATACGAAACCCCTGAGAAAAATGAGTAGGTATACTCACGTGGAACACTTGGCACGCTTCTAAATTAGCTTTATTACGAAGATTATAATCTTCAAGAGCGCGAATTGTGAGGCACAATTTTTCGAGGAGCTGCTTTGAAATAATGGGAATGGCAAATGATACTTCTTTCAAGCACTTTAGCCAATAAAGTAATGGGACGCTTTCCCAAGGAATAACAACGAGTGCCTCCACAAAAAGTTGGACATTCCCAGCGGACACAAAGTCCTTGAGCTGTTGCTCCTTGAGGCGCTTGGGATCTTCGGGATCGAACAACTGGGTTTTGTTGGTGGCCCGCAGGAAATCAGGCAGCAAGCTGAGGCGATAAACCTGGGACTGGTTTTTCAGGAAGTAGTCCAGGATCGCGTGCCGCACCAGGATACTTTCCTGCTTCAGAAGGCGGACGCACAGGATGCGCAGCCATGACGTCCAACGCTCGCCGAGATCGCAGGAATTCGAGAACAGGCTGTTTAGCTGGGATTCCAGATTAGTTGCCACCAACTGATCCTGCTCCAGGTCTTCGACCAAGTCCACCAAAAGGGACCACTGCTGAGGGGTGCATGGTAAGGAATCGTGCTCATCTGCGACTTGGCAGGATTTCTGCAATTGACGCATCATAAAGCAGGCGGACCTGCGACGATTCTCCGACTTCAGGAGCCTCTGGCTGGCGTCGAGCAGTACCAGGTAACTCTGGGTCCTCGAAAGAACTGGTCCAGCACCCGTGGGATTCATCAGGAGCGGCTGGAGCAGGACCTTTCCATCCATCAGGCGGCGTCGTTTGGCGATGTTCTCCTCGTTGGTAGCATGTAATCCAGACAAGATGTTTGCCACCCGGGAGCTAACGAAAAGTTCCCCAGAGCCTGAGCCTTGCAATAAGTTGTGGAGGCTCCTTAGCACGTGCTTCAGATGCTCTTCGTTTAACCTCATTGTTCCCACCAGGTCGCAGATCAACTCATCCACTGATGACTGGTCACTTTCGACCTGGGATTCGGATGCGGATTGCCTCTCCATTAATGGTAAAGGATTGGATCATTGGATCAACAAATATCTTTTAAGGAATAAAAGCAAAGCTACGCGTTTGCACAAATCTTTTCACAATTCTTAGTGCTGGCACACGCTCGATAGTTAGTGGCTCATACAAATAATCGTTTTCTGCATTTCGATTGTAGGCAGCTAAAATAAAAGATTGTTCACACTAGGGTGGAGTTATAAGCTCTTCCCACCGAGATCCACAGATTTATGCTTTTGATTTATTAGGTTTTATTTAAATTGTAGAACAAAAAAATAGTTAACTCTCATAGTTTATATGACACAGCAAGTATTTATAAGAAAGAAAAATAATAAGCAAGAATTTGAGAAATTACTCCATAGACATATTCTGTTTATAAAACTCCCAAATGAAGAGAGATCCAGTATCTTGGGCATTTGTGCAAAATTTTGGAACTTTTACCGTAAAGTCGAGCAGTTCAATCAAGTTAGCCGGTAATCCAGAATTCCAGTCTCTGAAAATCAGTGTTTTAGACGAATATTTTTAATTCTTAGCATTTAACTTACTTTAGCAATAAAACGCATCTTTTGGGAAACACAAATTCGACGATTTCTGTGCCAAGTGATGAGTCCACAGCACCAACGATTTCAAATCCTTTAGCCTTTTTTGCTAATAGAAATTCGGCTAGTATTTCTGGTCTTACTTCAAGGATATCCAAAGCCTGGTCAGCATTCGAGCTGAAATAAGAGTTATTTTTGAGACTACCATAATATACTAATTATATATAATATAATTATATACTAATAATTGCATAAATAATTCATACCACAAGTTATTAAAGTCGCTATTAGCAACATGCGATCTAAGGCCCAGGATCAAGGATTTAACTCCGAGACTTTTACAGGTGTGAGCCAAAGCACCCAACTCTGCTATCTTGTCGATCAGAGAAGCTACTACAATAAGCTCCCGATCTTCAGTTTTTGAGGGGTCTTTATATATTCCGTCTATTTCAACTAGTTCGTTCTCCTTGGTTAGGTTCCTTTTCTGGGCTACCTTGGCTTTAAAAGCCTCACGAGCACTAAATATCCCATAGTCCTTATTACAGAATTCGTAAACGTGGCGTTCATTAAATGGTGCATCTATAACATACAGCATGCTATTAGGAGAAATGTTATTCGCGAGGAAGATTCGAGGCTCGTTTTGAAGCTCATATAGTGTATCCTCAAATTTGTCTTTATATAGGTGATTTTGGTAAAGAAGATTACGTCTACAAATAAAGATTTTTATAATAAATGTATTTAATATTATAATTATGATTTATTTATTACCCTGTTGAATGGAACTTCATTGCCCAGCGATGAAGAATTAGCTTTGGAAGACTATTGTTATGAAATTTTTGTGATTTTAAGAGCGGTAGCACCAATTTACACATTTCATTTAATTGATCTTCCTTGAGTTCAGTCCAGTGAATAGTGCTGTAAATGTGAGCTATAGATATAATCGATTCCTGTTGACTGGTTTCTAGTGTTGGTAACAGCTTTAGTTGGTCTATTAAGATTTCTATGTTCGGCAGCATTTTGGCCACCAGACACTCGTACATGTAGGTTATACCGAGGTGATCGTTTGGAAATAATACAGCCTGCCACAAATTATCTGACCAAGTCCAATGTTTGCAAAATGCATTCAAAGCTGCAGCTATTCGTATTTTTTTGATGTGAACCTCGGAGTTTTCCAAGTAACTGGGGTACTCAATCGAAAGCTCATTGTTGATCCTAAGCAGATCGTCACAAATGGCACTTGCGTCTGATTTACTACCGTTGAGGACACTTTTTATGGCCACATTTCGACCTCTGGCTTTAGAACTAAAAATGTTCAAAGTTTTGTATAGGAAAGCGGCTTCAATGCTGGGGAAAAATATATGTATAAGAATTTTATTTATATTATTTCGAGCTTACCGTTCATCTCCAGTTGTGCTTTCCCCTTCTAGGATGAGTTTTAGAGCAAACGATTTTGAAAGTTTTCTTTGATACATTACATTAAGTGCATAATCGTGATGATGTAAGATATCCTGAATGCATTTGTCAACCTCCTTTTGGGTCAAATTTGCATACGCGTAATCTAAAATCACCATCCTAAATAATAGTAGAACAACAAATATTGGGATGAAGTTATATTTATGTATTTTATAAGTGAGTTACTTACACATAATCAGAACATGTAGAAGAAATTAGAGTTGACAGTAAGTTCACGTCCCCTAATCTTTCCTTATGCTGCCATAATAAGTGTACCAGGGAATCAGCTACATTATATGAACCCTTGGCCAGCAAATCTGCGGGGTTTAAGCTCAATTCCTTCAGTTTGCTCCATGATGTTATACGATTTTCGACAAAAAGATCCACACATTGTGCCTTCAAAAAGGCAATTTCATCTCTGTTGTTGCACTCCAGTTTATGTATTAAATACGATTGCATGTCCTTGAGGCTCGCACTTTTTAGAAGCCAACTTGTGTCCACATCGTATATTTGTCGATAGAAGTCTATTATAATTTCTTCTTCTTCTATTTTAAGATCAAGGCGCCACCAACCATGCTTAGCTTTTGGAACCTTTAGAAGTTTTCGGAAGAAAGCCTGACGAAGTTCAGTTTGACCCCTACACATCTCACCTTTACACGAACTTATGAAAATTTCATAGCTCCGTTTGTTGAAAATGTGCATATGAACCTCAATGTTTTCGCAGTCCTCAATTTTACGCGTCAATCGATTTTGCTCGAAACACTGATCCTTTTCATTGAATAGCTCGTCCATGCAACTTACGAAATCCTCCAAAGAAAAGCTGTCGAGCGTGGCCTGAAAAAGTTTAAAAAAAATATAGTTTAATATACGGAACCTTTCAGAAAAATGAGTACTCACGTGAAACACTTGGCACGCATCGAAATTAGCATTATTCCGAAGATTATAGTCTTTAAGTGCTCGAATTACGTGGCAAAACTTTTTAAAAAGCTGCTTTGAAATAAGGGGAATTGGAAATGATACTTCTTTCAAGCACTTTAGCCAATAAAGTAATGGGACGCTTTCCCAAGGAATAACAACGAGTGCCTCCACAAAAAGTTGGACTTTTCCAGCGGACACAAAATCTTTGAGCTGTTGCTCCTTGAGGCGCTTGGGATCTTCGGGATCGAAAAACTGGGTTTTGTTGGTGGCCCGCAGGAAATCAGGCAGCAAGCTGAGGCGACAAATCTCGGTCTGGTTTTTCAGTAAGTACACCCAGAAAAAAAAATTACCTTGATTTAAGTCCACGTTCCTTAAATTAAGGAACGATGGACTAAAAATGGCTAAATAAGGCTATTCATGGACTTAAAAGTTTTCATCCCATATACATTTTAAGTCTACATGGACTAATTTTGGACTTAAGGCCATATGGACTGTTACATGGACTTAGGTCCATTTTTATATAGCCTTATTTAGCCATTTTAAAGCCATTATTCCTTAAATCAAGGTCAATGGACTTAAATTAAGGAAATTTTTTTTTCTGAGTGTAGGCGAGGATCGCTTGCCGCACCAGGATGCCTTCCTCTTGAAGGAGGCGGACGCACAGGATGCGCAGCCATGATATCCAACGCTCGCCGAGATCGCAGGAATTCGAGAACAGGCTGTTTAGCTGGGACTCCAGATTAGTTGCCACCAACTGATCGTGCTCCAGGTCTTCCACCAAGTCCACCAAAATAGACCACAACCGAGAGCTGCACGGGGAGAAGTCCAGTAGGACCTGCTCATCCAGGATTTGACAGGACTTCCGCATTTGTCGCATCATAAAGAGGGCGGACCTTCGCACCCGACGATCCTCCGACTTCAGGAGCCTCTGGCTGGCGTCGAGCAGTACCAGGTAACTCTGGGTCCTCGACACGATTGGCTCAGTCGAGGGAATGGGCATGCCCAGGAGCTGCTGTAGCATGACCTTTCCATCCATCAGGCGGCGTCGTTTGGCGATGTTCTCCTCGTTGGAAGAAAGTATTAATGCCACCTGGGAGCTGACAAAAAGTTCCTCACAGCCTGAGCTTTGCAACAGACTGTGCAGACTTCTTAGCACGTGCTTCAGATGATCTTCGTTTTCCCTGACTGTTCCAACCAGATCGCTGACCAGCTCATCCAGGTGGGCATTTTCGACCTGGGATTCGGATTTAAATGGGTTTTCCATTGGACTGGATCTTGTTATATTGGATTAACAAAACTTTCAAGAAATAAAAGCCACACCGCGCGATTCTACAACAAATTTTCACTCGATTAATAATCGATCATAAAAACAATCGTTATCGCGCTTCGATTGAAAGCTACAAGAAAGGAACCAGTGGAATAGAACAAGATAATTTGAAACTCTGGATCCAACATTAAACATTAATCAAAAACAAACTACAATCTAATTGTAATAATCAGGAAGTAAATAATTATTTATTTGTAATAAGTAATGGCAGAGTTATATAAAAAACAAGAAAGGAAGCTTATGCAGATCTATTCTATTAATTTAAAAATTGCAAAAATGTTAAATTTCGTATTATTTCAACATTATTTTTTCTATCCTTCCTATAGCAGCTATATACTATAGTTGTCCGATTTTTGTTAAATTGAATTCAAAATTCGGAAATATTAAAAAACAGTCATATACTAGAGTAGAAGAGAGTGAAGCTATAATTTATTTCTTATTATGTTCCCATTATTTTCTGATCGCTCCTATGATAGCTATATGATATAGTCGTCCGATTTTGATCAACATAAAATTGAAATTCGGAAATATTTAAAAACAGTCATATCCCAGAGTAGAAGAGAATGTAATAAAAATCAACAAAGATATAATTTTTTTCCTATTAATTGATGTATTGATCCGATTTATTAAATATTTAATCCAAAATTGGGAAATATGTAAACAAAATTATTCCTAAGAGAAGAAGGTAAAATGTCTAAAAACACCGAAGCTATAATTTTTTCCATTATTTTTCCGATTATTCCTAGGGGAGCTAAAGGATATAGTTGTCCGATCCGTCTGGTACCGACTTATACCTACCTGTAGTAGAAAGAAGACTTTTGGGAAAGTTTCAACCCGATAGCTTCAAAATTGAGAGACTAGTTTGCGTAGAAACAGACGGACGGACAGACGGACGGACAGACGGACGGACAGACGGACATGGTTAGATCGACTCGTCTAGTGATGCTGATCAAGAATATATATACTTTACGGGGTCGGAAACGTCTCCTTTACTGCTTTGCAAACTTCTGACTAAAATTAAAATACCCTCTGCAAGATATAATGAAACAACTTTAGATAGTACTAACAGAATATGATCTTATTCATAATTCAATTTGCATAAAATTAAACGATTAAAATCGGAAAACTTTTAAAAGTGTAAAAAATTCACTTATTTTGTGCAATGTCAATATGAGGTTCTTAATGCCGGGTGACTTTTGAAATCGCTTAAGAAACCTCCGAGTTGAGGCAAAAAAAAGTTCGGCCTAGACACAAGTTTCGTATTTAATCATAAAATGTTGACTTTTACAGGGGGACGGTATTCGTACAAAACTGGTTGGCACTTTGCGGTCGCGCAATTCTTTAAGTTTAGTACAAGCAACTAAACTAGAAAGAAGTGCACAATAACTGTAAAATAGGAAACACAAGTGGGTTCCGTAGTTGCAGCCGGCATTTGCAAAATCCTTTTTATGGGCAATTTATTCCTTTATTTGTTAGTGGATTTAAGGCCGTAACAGTGTCCACTCCCGCACATCCCAACTTCCCGACTTTCCCACATCCGCACCCGTTTTGCTCCGATTTTCCCTCGATTTTCCACTCCCCTCGGGCAGACGAAAGCGCCCATTGGTAGTCGTATTTCGAGTTTAAAGGTAAATGGGAGATTTATCGCCGGCGATTTCCGGTGTACATATATGTACGGGTGTGCGAGTGTGTGTGTTTGTAGAGTGGGTGGTTTAACATCTTGGCTGCGGGCCCTGTTTATATCGGGGTTTTAGTGGGCCCTCGAGAGGTTCGGTTTTTGGGGCCGAGGGCTTTACAACATTTGCGAAAAGTTGAAGCCATTGGGCGCCAATTGCATGATTCATTTTCGCTTATTGGCCATTAATTCTCAATTTGGCCCCGATTGAGGCCAAAATAAATATCGTATACATAGGCATTACATTTACATTTTTATCGAATGCATTAGAGATCCATACAGGCTGTAATTACCCAAATGGCCGTTATAACAAGGCGAATGATTAATTACTGACTAATACCTGAAACCCGATCCGTGGTCAGGCATCGATTGGAATCGGGCTGCTGGTCGTATCGCCCCCCAAACCATCCATCCATCCATAATAACTAGACAGGCGACGATGCAGGTCTTTGGCCATGGCCAATGTCTTAGGTGCCAGCTGCGGCAACTTGAGCAGCCTGTTCCGTAATTATGACAGGCGGCTAAAGGCCCAGACTCCAGTTCTCAGTTCTCAGATGCTCAGATCCCCAGATCCCCAGATCCAGGTCCCGTCTCGATTTTCCCTGCCGCAGGGGGTGTGGCAACAATTAACAAATGGCTTTCGTTGCCAATGCCATTGACCAAAATAGACATGTTTGCCAGGGGTTACAGCCACACGCATACATAGGCGAGACGCACAATGCACTCGAACAAATGACACCGTAAGCCCAATAAATGGACTCAAATTGGGGTAATTAAAATGATTTATTTACTAATAGTATCACGGACAAATCAATCAATTTAGGAGTGCAAAATTGAGAGAAATTAAAACTATTAATATTGAATAATGATTTAACTAAAATAACAATGTTTTATTCTTAGAAAAATGTAAGTGGCTTTTATTACTAACAAAATTCCCATAAATAAAACAACACTTTATGAGAAGCTAAAAAGCATTTTATAATTGTATAAAAAAGGAAAATAGTTTACATAATTCAATTTTAATCACAATATTTATATCTATATTATTTAATTAATCCCTAAGTTCTATATAAATAGATAGATTTTGTACTCGATTTAAAGTGCAATATCTTTGGAATTCGCCAGACTTGGCTTCCATAATTAACAGAAGAAATATTTAATATATTAATATAGTTATACTATCACTGAAATAGAGTATATAGGTATATTTGTAACAAAATGTTTACATTAAAAAAACCTGTATAATAGCATTTTATAAGAAGCCAATACCATCGTGAGTTATTATTGGATCTTTATTAGCAATAAATTTTGCTTATTATTATTATAATCAGGGACCGTAAATAACACAGGTCAACAAAATGGACTTTATTAAAAGGTGCAGGCTTATTGGCATTAAAACATGTTAATATAGACGTATATAAGCATATCTGCATACTTAGTTTTCGCGTTTAACGGGTGGTATTTGGGCAATCGCGGTTTGAAAAAAATAGCAACATTTAATTTTTTGATTTAAGATATCTTCGAGGGTCTGTGCTCAGTTGTAATAATACCTATGCCAAAAAATTGCTTAGATGCCCTTCTACATTATTGCACTTAAGGTTCCATCATAATTTGAGTTAATAAAAGCCTATGAGCCATAAAAGTAATTTGTTCACCTCTATTTACAACCAACTTGATGCGGTGAACAGGCTTAAAAAAATACAAGGAAAAATATATGCCCTTAAATATTTTACAGGCATCTAGAGGTCTTCGGGAAAAGACGCCTCTAGATGCATGTAAAATATTTTAGGGCACATATTTTTCCTTGTATTTTTTTAAGCCTGTTCACCGCATCAAGTTGGTTGTAAATAGAGGTGAACAAATTACTTTAATGGCTCATAGGCTTTTATTAACTCAAATAATGATGGAACCTTAAATGCAATTATGTAGAAGGGCATCTAAGCAATTTTTTGGCATAGGTTTTATTACAACTGAGCACAGACCCTCGAAGATATCTTAAATGAAAAAATAAAATGTTGCTACTTTTTTCAAACCGCGATTGCACAAATACCACCCGTTAAACTCGAAAACTAAGTATGCAGATATGCTTATATCCGTCTATATTAACACAATTTAATGCCCATAGGGCTGCACCAAAAACACTGTTGGCCTGTGTAATCATTATTTGAGATTTTTATTTTAAAAGGACTACTGTGATATTTTGTTTTGAACGTCAAAATTACCGTTATTTTTACTCTTGTCCACAAATTATATGCATTTCAACAAATCTGGAAAGCAAATTAACTGTTATTTGTTCATGTCTATAAAGTGCATAAAAACCAGTTAAATTGTTGATAAAAACTTGTAAAAACCTCAGTAGGCCTTTTAAAATAAAAATCTTAAATAATGATAATAATAATTATAATCGAATGGAATAATAAGTAATTAGATTTTAATAACGAAAGAGCTTGTCACTCGATTTGAAGTGCAATATCTTTGGAATTCGCCAGACTTGGCTTCCATAATTAACAGAAGAAATATTAAATATATTAATATAGTGATACTATCACTGAAATAGAATATATAGGTATATTTGTAACAAAATGTTTACATTAAAAAAACCTGTATAATAGCATTTTATAAGAAGAAGTTATTATTAGATCTTTATTAGCAATAAATTTTGCTTATTATTATTATAATAATAATAATTATAATCGAATGGAATAATAAGTAATTAGATTTTGGAATTCGCCGGACTTGGGTTCCATAAATAACAGAATCCCTATATAAACTCGGATTTAGGCCTTATTTCTCCCTGTACCATGTGTGGCAGTTGTATTGTCTTAACGATAATGGCAAGTCGTGGGTATGTAATACGAGGTGGGCAAATATTTGTGTCTGTTTGAGTGAGTGTGTGGTGTGGTGCGGTGGTGCAGAGTGGTGCGGTGGTGCTGGGAGGGAGCTACAAAAGCAAAACCAAAAGCAAAGGTAAACTATTATATTTATATGGACGTCTGCGGATGCTGCTGCTACGGCCCAACTGTCTGCGCACTTATCTGCAGCTGAGTGGAAAATAAATTCCTTTTAATTAAAACCGCAGCACAGCTCGTGATTTAAATGGCTCACGGCTCAGCCAGAATCGGTGGCAAAAAAGAGGAGAGACCGAATCAGAAGCGCTGTGCAAATTTATTGGCTTCCATCCATAAATCAGCGAAACAGTTCGACTGCCCGGCCGGCCAAGAGGTGAATTCATTTTAATTAAATAGAAAAATGTTTTGTTGTT